ATACTCTGTACTCAGGGCTAACTACACATTCTAATGCATATTAAGTCTGGCATACATCCATTTATGCATGCCAGACCTAGAGGTATAGTATTTCACATACATTTCTTATAGAGATTTGCCAGCACCCTATGGAGACAGTTATATCATTAAATATAAATGTGGAGGCATTGCATCCTTAGATTGCTCCATACAATTATCCAAAACAGGCTATAGTTGGATATTGAAAGACGAAAATACCCCTATAAATGGTGAGCAATCCTCACTTTGTACAAAGGGGGTGTGGGGGATAACCGTTATTTCTAGTTTCCCTTAGCTTACTACAGACATGGTCTAGTTCTAAGCAAAGTCAGTGGCTACTGAATGGCTTAGCTGACCTCCTTGAAGCCCAACATGCCACTGCTCCAATTTCCAGTCTGATTTCATCCCTAAGCTGGCAACAGACCTTTCCTCCTCCTCCAAACACAAAGCCTTATGTCAGTCACTATTCATAGGTCCAAACAATCCCCCCCCCCCCCCCCAAAAAAAACCAATTATCTCAAAAAAATTACTCCCAAAACCCAAAATGTTTTACTGCCTACTTTTTGGCATCATTAGGGGTAAATAAAATAGAAAGTTCTCAGTGGATGTGCTCAATGTGAAAGAAAATCAAAATGGCACCTCCAACAAGAAATGCCCGCAGCGATAAAAGAAGAAAAGAATTAGCGCAGGGCAGGCATGACTAGGCCCAGAGTGGGAAGGAAGACGTGTGAGGGTTAATGATTGTATTAGAGTTGGTAAAGGATAGCTGGGGGATCTGGTTGGTAGAGGAGAGTGTAGGTGGGGTCTCCTGCACTTTAGGGTGGGGTGTTCTGGGGAGGGGCATCAGTTGGGAGCTGGACGTGGGAGAGAGAGCTTCCCTCCCGCCCTCCCTGTTTGGTGAATGTTGTGTCCTTCCTGGGGGGGGGTTATTTTGGTTTGTGGGCGGTGGTTGGTCTTTGGAGGCGGTTCTTATCTTGGAGGTACAAAATGGTGTGGGACCCATCGTTGGTATGGTGTGCCTGGGAACATTCCCAGTTAACCGAGGTTTAACTGGAAGGTGGTGGTGCTGCACTGCGGACAGTATGGTTGTCTCGAGCTGGTTGGTTGCGGCTGGAGGCCTAGTGGTATATGGTTGTCCGCAGGTGCATTTCGCATCATTTTGGGGGTGCCTTCAAAGACCAACGACAACTCTTTATGTTTTCTGTTATAAGGAATGGTTGATGTGTTTAAACTTGATTTGTTAATAAAAGGCCGTGTTGGCCATTTTACTCCAAAATTGGTGTTGTGTTTTCTGTAAGTATAGTAAGTAAAGGGGATTGGTATGGAAGGGTAATGGTGGTGTAGTGGGGTCTGGATGAACCTATCTCGGGTGCACTAGTCATGTGTCAACCAGCTTTTTGTAGGCTCCCCTTTTCACTCATTGACTAGGACTTATATTTGCATCATGGTGTCATCAGAGCTCAGTATAAGTCTAAGGTTAGGGACCCAAAGCTGTGCAGGCAGCTCTCCATGTGCAAGTAGTTACTTTTACCCCTTTCCTTTATATCAAATGACACATTTATCAGTCGTATTGGTGGGAAGACTAGACCTCAAACTACTGCCAGAAGTAATAGAGTACAGAAAATAGACGTAACAATTTGTTTGTGGATGAATGGTTCGTAAAATAAGATTGAACAGCACTAGAGATTTAGCTGGAGATGTATAAATATGAAGTGGAATTCAGGCCCGGAGACCACAATATAATAACCACGAGCAGCATAGAGAGAGAAGTCCAAATATTACAGTAGTCATGCTGCCGCCTGATTTACTAAACTCTGATAAGTGTCAACAATTGCTCTTCATTCTAATGGAAGCCATCAAGCCAACATCTATCTGATGGGTCGTAATCTGGTTTCTGTTTAGTAAAAATCACCTTTTATCATGTATCTGTTGAACGTGAATAGCGTTTTGTGCCCATCTGAGAAAACAAGAGAGTCAGATTGCCTCTTTAACATCGGGCGGCACGTACTCACTGCCTAACCTGTTTATCATGTACATCTTATGAAACTGGGGCCTCTAATTCCCTTTTCAATTTTTGTAATAATATTGTCCTCAAACTGCTAGAAAACCAGCATAACGGTGATTGTATTAGAGTCTAATCCTCTAAGAGTATATGCAATCTGCCCTGAATGGGTAACAGAGGAATTTTAGAGGAAAAGGCAGAGACTGGCATGGCCTTGCTTTTTAAAGATTAACTTTCTGACAAAAATTGGTATATCTTTTGAGGGTTTGTTTACAAAATGTATTCATTTGGTTATTGAATAATTTCTGTATCTGCTAGTGCAAAAAGATTTCAGTTGGCACTATAGGGCAGGGAAGGGGGGACATGTTTAGGTCTTACATTGAGTGGTAAAGCAGGGGGCTGCTGGATGGGCCCCCTGTGCCTTAATGCTGTTCCCATACTGCTGGGCAGTTCAGGGACTTCTGAAAGCATGGGACACCCAACAGATGCTAGCAATAGCAGTTTTAGGATGTTGTTGTACCCTTTATATAAGTGGTTGTAAACCATTACATATACCCACTCAAGGGACTATGCTCAGGTTATACACAGAGATGAAGAAAATCCTTCTACATAAGTTGTACATGTTTATCTGCAGCCCTTTCTCCTTTGCAGTTGTGCAAAATGTACACTTTACACAGCATTTCTGAGCTTCAGAAGGCAGGGGGTGGGTGGATCTAATGTCACACACTGCAGAGCATAGAAACAAGAGCTGACTGTAATCTGAGACCTGAGTAGAGGAACAAGACACACTCCCCTCTATTCAATCTCAGAGGGAAATATGCTCAGCTAAGGCTATCAATCACCTGCAGTTTGTTGGAGAAGAGGCAGGCCAGCTCCTGGGATAGCTTGGGGACTGTCAGAAGTGACTCAGATAGCAGAGGAATAAGAGAGGACACAGAAATCACACGAGGTGCTTGAGATAGAGGCAAGTACACACTATTGAAAGGATATGCTTTGTTCATTTTTCATTTCAGAGGTTTACAACCACTTTAAAGTCCCACTACCCCAATTTGTATTTGTTTTGTTTAAATTATAAAGGACTACAACTTTCATTGGGGCATTTAATGCAGTTTGTGTCTCCAGTGGGGAGAATCTCTTGGGAACCTCTACAAAGGGTACTTTTAAAGTAATTAAAAAACATTATCGTTTACATAGACGAGGAATAGAACGCCTCACTGGTTTGGCACAGGTTCTAACTACTGGCTAAAGTTTCTCTTTCTTTTTTTTTTAATGAAAAAAACAAACAGAATAACCCAATGTTTGGATTGTAGACAAAGCATTATGATATGATCCAGTGGGGGTTATTTACTAAAACTGCATGATGCAAAATTTGGTGCAGCTTTGAAACCAATCTGCTTCCAGGTTTTATTGTCAAGGCTCAATTGAACAAACTGAAGTTAGAAGCTTATTGACCACCATGCACAGATGCACCAAATTCTTAGTGCACCTGTTTTAGTAAATCTTCCCCATAGTGTCCCCAAAGCCCCAATGAATTTCTGAATATTTCACATTTGACAGGCCAACATCCTGCTTTTCACCATCCAATGCTTGGGCTTTAGCCTAGGGGTTCTTAAACAAGGTAATCATCTTGGGGGGGGGGGGGGGGGGGGTTTGAAACTAAGTTGTGGGGTATGGGACTGAATCTTTATATAAATAATTAAATAATCACTAAAAATAATTAAATAATTATAAAAATTAATGATTTTTAAAAAAAAATTTAATATTTGTTAAACAATTGTTTTTATTATTGAACTTAAAACAAAAGTGGGGGAAAAAAATTACTTGTTTTTTTTTGCAACACATAAGTAACATTGTCAATAACTGGATCTCAGTTTCATGTTTTGATTGCACAAAAACAACAGCAAAAATTGCACTAGTTGTAGCTAGCTTGTGTAGTTGTACTTCACTATTTTTGTATAAATTTATACCATTTAATCCTTAAGGTTTATTTTCAGATGTTCTGTTCCTAACTATCTATAGATAAAGTAAAAAACCAAACTAATGACATCTTTCAAAGTCATACTGCTAATTAATAGGACTGGAGATGATAATGATTTTGATATTTTGATAAAGAGGGTATAGGGACATATTGGGCAATCCATTGGGGACCAGTAATGGTAAAAAGGTTAGGAACCCCTGTTTAGGGAAACCCTATTATAAACACAGTAATTGCCACTTAATATGTGGAGTAAGGATAGCCCTATTCAATAACTTTAAGATAGTTGTAAGTTGCATACATACCTCAATAGACTGTCTGCTGTGGGAATTTAATGACAGGCTAATATGAAAAAGGGAAAGACAAAACAGAGGGTGCACAGGCCTAGTGCATTACCATAAAAAATGTTTAATAAAAAATGAAGTATGTGTTGTACTCACAAATGACAATATAGTCAAGGCACATCATAAAAGAACAGCTGGGTCAACACCGCGCTGAGTAACAGTCCCTAATAGGGAGTTTAGACATCCAAAAGGCTGACGCGTTTCGAAGACTTGCCTCTTCCTCAGAGCCCTCTTGACCCAGCTGTTCTTTATGATGTGCCTTGACTATATTGTCCTTTGTGAGTACAACACATACTTTATTTTTTATTAAACATTTTTTATGGTAATGCACTAGGCCTGTGCGCCCTCTGTTTTGTCTTTCCTCATTCAGTATATTTGGATTTCCCCGGTCCATTTGAGGGCAGCAAGGTGTGCATGATCCAGGACATTCTTAATGTGGTTGTAGCCTGCATCGAGTCCATCCCCAAGCGCAGGAGCATTTGTGTTTGCTGGTTCTTAATATGAAAAAAGGCCTGCATGACTTAATTAGGGTCTCCACCATACACAATGGAAGGGTTTCTAAAAATGTAGGGTATACATAGTCCTCACTCTTGGAAACCAGTTTTGAATTTCCGTGTTTATAATTATGGCAAGTTAAATTAAAATGGCCCCTTTTTATTTTTCAGCTTCTGTGTGCCATCATTGCTGGATTGCTACATTACTTCTTCCTTGCAGCATTTGCCTGGATGTGTATTGAAGGAATCCATCTATACCTCATTGTTGTTGGTGTCATCTATAACCGTGGATTCTTGCACAAAAACTTCTATATTTTCGGTTACTGCAGTCCGGCTGTGGTGGTTGGGATTTCTGCTATTCTAGGATATAAGTATTATGGCACGGATAAAGTGTGAGTATGCTGAAGCAAAGGCTCTGCTTAAAAAATATTTTCTCAAATAAATGAATTATTTATGCAATAATATTTTATTTATCTTGAAGATGTTGGTTGAGCACGGAGAACAATTTTATATGGAGTTTTATTGGACCAGCCTGTCTCATCATTCTTGTGAGTACGGAGTTTGTGTTTTATTAATATTCACCAGTGTTTATTGTCTTTTTTTGCATTAAGTAAGATTTGAATGCTGGTTTAACTACACTATGCGCTTAGCTCAGATGGGCTGAAATAGGTAGGGACTGATATAGAAAAGTTTCTGTAGCTGCATCTTCAATACAGACAGCCTCTTTGACATACAAAAGAAGTATAGAAAAGAGGAGACCTTGTGACTGCAGCTCCCAGTCCCTTTCCTGGCAAGAGCAATCCACCTTATTATGACTTTCCTAGGGGGCAGAATGAGAAACTCTGGTTCTTACTTCCCACTGACAGTAGTTACAGTTCACACATTTTCTTGGTTATATCCAAAGTTCAGGTTGAGCGTGGTTGACAATAGGACTTTGGGTCAGCGGTGCCCGGTCCCCTTCCTGGCAAGATCAACCCACATCACTATGAGATATCTGAGGCAGAAGTAGAAACTCCAACTTCAGTACTTTGTACTAGTAGTGACAATTTACATATTTTGTTTGAACTCAGTTTGTGAGTGGTTGGTTATAGGATGCTGGGTCAGTGGTGCCCCGTCCCCAATTCTGCGAGGCAGAAGTAGAAACTCCTGCTTCATTACTTTTGCCATCTTGTGTCCACTGAACATCCTGCAAACAGTATTATGGCAGGGTGTTACATATACAACCTTGAGTCAGTGGTCTCCTTCCTGGCAAGACCATCCCATCTCCCTATGACTTACACGTGTGAAAGAAGTGGAAACTAGTTCCTACTTTACTACTTCCTACTAGTAGTGGTAGTTTACACGTGTGCCTGGTTATAACTTAGGGGTTCATTTTGAGTGTGTAGTTAGTTATACGACCTTGAGTCAGTAGCACCTGTCCCTTCCTGGCAAAACCAAATTACTCCACTATTAAAGACTTGTGTGGAAGAAGTAGAAAATTTTGTTCCTACTTCACTACTTCCTACTAGTAGTGGTAGTTTACACGTGTGCCTGGTTATAACCTAGGGGTTCAGTTTGAGTGTAGTTAGCTATACGACCTTGAGTCAGTAGCACCTGTCCCTTCCTGGCAAAACCAAATTACTCCACTATTAAAGACCTGTGTGGAAGAAGTAGAAACGTTTGTTCCTACTTCACTACTTCCTACTAGTAGTGACAGCTTACATGTTTGCCTCATTATATGTCAAGAGGTCAGTTTGAGTATGGTTGGCTACACGACTTTGGGTCATTCGGAGCTGTCCCCTTCCAGGCAAGGCCACCTTGGTATTGCAAAGATCGCATTAACAAAAACAGCAACCAAACCAATATAAAACTAAAACATGAGCAACCGTTATGTCTAAAGCGCTTATTCCTCGCTTCCTCAGCAGCCTTCACTCTTCTTCACTGTCTGATGCTCTCAAATGTGGGCCCTTGGCCTACTCCTGTACATTGCAGGACTTTAGGTCCTGCATTTTAAGCGATGGCTTCAGAAAGTAGTAAGAGAAGCTTTAGGGAAACAGTCACACTAAGAGGAGTGAGGAATCAGGTAAGTATTTCACCTCATATATCATCTGCTAGACAAAAATGAGCAGGGAAAGGGGGACCAGCTGCGAGGGTATATCTTTTTTAACCCAAATGTCCAGCTTTAACTATTACCCATAAATGACAAGAAAGAAGATATGTTCATTTTTCTTTAATGGGATCTAATTATATCCAAAGGTTTCTTTTAACAAATATTAATGCCATTGAAATTTATTATAAAAACAATAAATGCATCTAAACACAAAAGTATTAAAGTTCATGCTCTGTAATAAAACTAAAGCCACAAATCCTAAACATTAGCTTTTTGTTTTTTTAATGTAAGATAGAGTAGGGAATGGTCAAAGCCCCCTGTCAGACATTTATTTTGCCTTTGAGAGCACCAAATGTACAAGATTCTTAAGTTCTTAATGATAAAATTAGTTTCATAGCCAAAAAATCCAACACCGGGTGCTTAAATGGACTCAGATACGTACAGTAGATGCCAGGGGCGGACTGACAACTCATGGGGCCCCCTGGCAATAGGGGATCATGGGGCCCCTGTGTCCTTGCCAAAACTCAAAAAAGCCTATGAAAAAGTACCAGGGGCATCTCATGGGGCCCCCTACTGACCCCGGGCCCTCGGGCAGTGCCCGAGTTTCCAAATGGTCAGTCCGCCCCTGGTAGATGCTATGGATTACTGGTTTTAAAACTTTCAAAAGGCATGTTATGCCGGAGTTAAGAAGTCCAGCACAAGGTATTTTTTGCCAACTGTGTTTCTTTGGATGGCTTCCCCTTACTTTCTGTCATGTAGATGCAAACAGTAATTGAAAGGAAATCTCTCCAAAGTGTATGGAAGGTCTACAATGAGCTTCTCCTATTTGTTCCCTTTTGGTCTGTTGAATAAACTATTGAAAATGTTTTGTTTTATCTATTTGATAAGTGCAAAAAAACTGTTGATCTTATCAGAAAGTCAGAGCTGTCTTTTGCCCTCTGTACACCTCCTATGTTATCTCAAAGGCCCCTTCTAGTTCTTTTCTTGGACTACAGAATGAATAGCATTTATGTTGTAGAGAATTGAGAGTGGGAGTGGTTGAGTAGTTTAGGAAAAGACACTGGGAAGGCCTGACCACACTCAGTCCACAAAAATGCTGTATGTTGTCAGTTCACAACATGATTTAAGTGCTGAGTGCATTTCTAACAGATCAACGGGTATTTTTATGTACTTGCAGTGCCTTTAGTGGGATAAAACATGGGGAATGTGCATGTATTGCATATGGTTTTTTTCTGACGTACATTTTAAAACAGGCAAAAAAAAAGCAGTTGCCACCAGAAGAAGTGTCTTCACCAAAAAGATTTTATCTTTATATTTGGTCTGATGGCAACTTACAATTTTGGATTTTCCTCACTTTCACTAGCCCTAACAATGGTCTCTAGGACATATAGAGGCCACCCCCACTCCCAGTTGTTGATGACACCTTGTTGCTTGGAAGCGCCTTCAGTTTCTCTCTGATAAAGTATTGCATCTTGCTCTCCCACTCCAGTGCTCTGTGCTGGCAGAGCTGAGTAACAGTCACAAACCTTAGCAGAGCCAGAGAGGAGGCATGTCTGACCAGGACTGTTACTGAGAGCTGATTACTGAGTAGGACTCACAACCATATTTAGACACCCTGTACAATGTAGAATGAAAGTAGAAGTAAGGCTGGGGAAATGGAGACATTTTGTACAATGTCTACTTGAGTGTATTGTCTATTTAAATGATTCTAACAGGGCATTAAACATGTGAAATACACAAAAATGAATGAATTTACTGAATACTATTCTTGCATGCATTAACCCTCTACAGTTATCAGAATGTAATATTGTTTGCAATAGCTATATTTTAGGTGGTATTTATTAATATGTGAGTACTAAAGTTTTAGCACAAGATGGGAGACCCATTATTTGCACTTTAAGCTCTTGCATGGCGGAATTTTCAAAGTGAAAGATCCCCCTAGCAGCCAATCTGTGGATCTTTAGAATAAACTGCTGCATTTGTCAAGTTTTACAAGTCAATAATTTTGAAAGTAATTACAAATCATTATTGAACTGAGCTCACGCCGATCTTCAGCTTCAAATGTGCTCATTTTTTTTTATTGAATCCTTAGGTTAATGGCAGTTGATGACACATAACAAGAATCATTGGGCTCCTTACAGGTGCCAGCTGTTGTAGATTGTTAGTCAATAGTGATGATGATCAACAGACAGAAAATGCTGTACAATAAATCCTCAAAAGCTATGTGCAGTCCAAACCCTATAAGTCCAATCTTTAAATCAAATTCTTCTCGTGTTCCAAAAAAATTCCTCCGATAATATACCTCAAAAAGAAAAAAATATTCACATAGTGCGTTATCTTTTTTTATATCTAAATAATAGTGACTTCATTCAAGTGAATACCCAATCACATTAATAATCCGTGAAAGAGTGAACAAAGTGAAAAAAACTGTGAAACCAAAACAATGAAAACCCCCGTGAATGTGAATCACTCTTCAGTGCTCTATTCCAACCAGCACTGTGACACTTCTAAGTGTAATAAGGAATGCATACCCTTACCAATATTCAGAAAAAAAGGACACTTTTTTATATATCTTTCCAAAGGGAAGGTGGGAGACAGTCCTCCTATTGGTCTTTACTCAATATAGTCTGCCTTCATATTAGCAACAGGATCCACCAGCCTTGAGACTCCATATATCCATACCAGGCATATTCCATATAAATATAAATATATAGGAAACACAATAGTATAATACCGCCAGAACCAATCTTAAAAACAACTTTAATCAGGGTGCTCACATTTTATCAGCATAAAAACGCTTTAAAAGGTACTCAAAAGTGATTTACTGCAATCCAGGAAGCGCCCAGGGGAAATCAGACGATCTTCCCTCATCCAAAATGGCCGCCAGTCAACTTCCGGTTCTCGTGTGCGCATTGACGTCACTTCCCCTTGACGCGTTTCGTCATCGACTTAATCATAAGGGGTTTGGACTGCACATAGCTTTTGAGGATTTATTGTACAGCATTTTCTGTCTGTTGATTTTTGTACATCTTTTGGGGTGAAGGTGTTGGTGGTTCTGTGGGGAATTGGATTTATTTATTAAGAGAGTGGTTTTTGATTCTAATAGTGATGATGATACGGATGATTTTAAGAGGACTCCAGTTTGATCACAGCAATTCATGTTACTGTACAAATAAGGAAAAAAGTCTAATGGAGGGGATCAATCAGCCATTGGGATCCAAGTTACATTTATATGAATATTTGGAGATCAGTAAAATGCTTTTAATCCATGAAATTGGAATTTTTAAATGTCATTTACAATACCTGTCAAAATAAAGAATAGTAGGGAATGGTCAAAGCCCCCTGTCAGACATTTATTTTGCCTTTGAGAGCACCAAATGTACAAGATTCTTACGTTTTTAATGATAAAATTAGTTCATAGCCAAAAAATCCAACAACGGGTGCTTAGGAATGTGCTTA